CGTCTTTGGTGGTCAAAAATTATACGCGTTATACGACTCAAGAAAAATAAATAGAAATATTAAATAAGAACAAAAATGATAATATTATTAAGGATAATGATAAATAAGAACAAAAATGATAATATTATTAAGGATAATGATAAATAAGAATAAAAATGATAATATTATTAAGGATAATGATAAATAACAAGATATTTGACAAAAAACTATTGATATGATAAGTTATTAAAGAAAAAAATATAATTTTAATTTGTCGAAGGAAAGTTTTTTTTTTGAAAAAAATAAAAAATTTCTGAACAAAAATGTTTAGAAAAAAAGGAAATGTAAATGGGCTTTATTTAAAGAAAATTTTGTTTACGGAATAAACAATAATTATTGGTCACACAAAAATTTTATAATCATATACATTACATCAGCTAGCATAAAAAAAAGGCATCCGCACAAATTTTCCCACGAAGGGGAAAGAAAAAAATGCCAGATAGAGGACGCGTAAACAAAATTTGTTATGATTGGCATGTGACAGATTATCAAATTAAATTAATTGATTTCAATTTTTATCATATTATTTTACAATTTAGGGATTGATATTAAAGGAGAAAATATTAGTCTTTTCAAATTTAAATGTCTGCATCTTTAACTCAAAATCTTCAACAATGTGTGCAACGATTGCAAGACAGCACTTCTTTGGTAATAATTTTTTAAATATTCGGATTTATGTTCTTACGTGACAATATACTAAATTTTTTTTATTTTGTTTGTTTATATAATATAGCTTCAAGTTTCCGTAAAAAACCTAGAAAATAGTACGCAAAATTTTTCTCGACTAAAAAAGATAATTGCTTGTCAACGGGTAAAATAAAAATATCTAAAAAAAAAAAAATATCAAATTTTTTTATTTTTGAATAAAAAAAAAATATTATAAAAATATTTATGACATTGTTTTTAAAAAAAAAAAAAGTTATATGAATTAGTTACAGAAACAGAAATTCGTGAAACTCAAGGATCATTAGCTATTCAGCTTGAACCACGAGTTAAAAATCTTTTATTAAAAGCCGAAGAAATGCTATTGGAGCTGGAACAACGCGAAAATATACTTCAAGAGGAGGTAATTTTTTAATTACCAAAAAAAAAAAATTTTTTTATTCCTTTTAAAGTATTTATTGTAATTTATTATTATTTATCTAGACCAATATGGGCGAGATTGAATTAGATTCAGAATTAAAAAAGGCACAATTAAAACAATTAAATTTACCAAATCAATCGAATAAAGAAAATGATTCGATAAAGAAATATAGTAGACAACAACAAAATAATGAAAATATGAAAAAATTGAAGGAAGTTAAAAAAAAAATGGAGAGAATGTCTAAAACGGTTGAAGGATTAGAGGAAGATTATAAAAATAAGGAAAGTTTCATATAGAAAAATCAAAAAGATATTCTGATGATTAAAGATAATTATTAATTAAAAAGTTCATAAAATTATATATACATATATTAGATGGAAGAACTTCATCTTCAAAAGCAAAGAATTATTGCAGAACAAAAACCTTCAGCAATAAAATCGCAAAAATCTTCAAAGGTAAAAAGGTTGATACTACCGGAAAAATGTATTATTCAATATTAAATAATAAATATGAAAGAAATTTAAAGTCTAGGAATGAAGAAATTTTAGAAAATTTTGGAGAACAAATTAAAGAATTTATTGGAAAAAAAAAGGAAATTCAACAATATTCAATAATGGAAGTCTCCGAAAGTATGACAGATGAAGGTAGTAAATTAATTATGATCATTATTAATTAACATGATTAAATACAATTAATAAAAATCAGCAATCTTGATTTATTAAATACTCGATTTTTTTTTTTTTTTAAAAAAAAAAAAAGATTCCAAGTGGAAACAATTTCAAACACAATATGACTTTTTTAAACGAGCATTACAACAAATTTCGTCAATATCTAATTTGCCAAGTAAGATTTAAAATTATCCGTTCGCGAAATACCACGAAGGCTTCAAAATTTATTTTATTTATAGAATTATATATTGATTATATTAATTAGGCGATATTATTTCTGATTTCGAAACGCTATGCATTTCTTATATAGAGTTTTTGAGTAATAATAAGTTTGAGGTAATTATTATTTTTTTAAAGATATATTTTATATATATCTAAATTCTTTTATTAATAATTATTTTTATTTTTTTAAAGGTTCAAAAAACTAATGTAGATCGTTTGAAGCAAAGAAATGAAAATATAAAAAATTTAAAAAAATTATGTAAATTATTATATCCCACTGAAAATCTTGGTGGAACAATCGCGAGAATTATAGAAATTCTATTGGATTCGAATCAAAAAGAAATATTTGTTAAAGAATTTGGAAATGTAAACATTAATGATTATAATTATAATCATTATTTAAATTATTTTCATTTTTCTAAAAGTAGGTAAAATCGAAATTTATTTTATAAAATCTGTTATTATTATTATATTTAGGAATTTCCTCCTGAACAAGAAAGAAGACATAAACTCCAAGCTGCGATAGCTACACTGAATAAGCTTGACATAACGGAAACAGTGTTAGAAGAACATCCAAATGGATGTGATAATGATGGTCAAATGATTTTAAAATTTAAAATCGATGTAGATAATTAAAGACCGATGAATTTTTAAGTTGAAATATTTTAAATTTACTAGGAAATTTCATTCATGTCAAGAAAATAAAATAAAAACAAACAAATAGAAACGTTTATTCATAATATTAAATTCATTAAATTTTATTATGAATTCTCCAAAATATAGATAGAAAAAAAAAGTTTACAAAATAATAATTAATAATAATAATATTATTATTGATATTATTACTTCCTATTAATAATATTTATGTATTGACAAGTTAAATTCTTTCGTCATTAAATCCAAATACATGTAATCCGATGTATTGTTTATCAACTTCGGCGTCTCCGGCAAAAGCCAATAAATAACCTTTTGGGTGCCATGCCACTGAATTCGTAGCTGCTTGAGTTCTAATTTTAAACACTGGTTTCCCACCCTTCTCAACATCCGACTATACAAATAATTTCGTAAATAAAAGTAATTTGAAAAAAAAAAATAAATAAATATATATATATAATACTCACCACGTGAATATATTCATCCTCGGATGCAGATGCTAAATATACACCATCAAATGAAAAACTTATTGTTCGTACAGGAAATCTAAATAATAAATAAACAACAAAAATAGTTGCAATAATAATAACAAACAAAAAAAAAATATAAATAAATTATAAACAATAATAAACTTACTCTAAACCTCTAAATGTTCTTAGACAAACTCCATTTTCAATATCCCATAAAGTTACAGTTGCATCCGCTCCTCCCGTTGCAACATATCTAAAATGAAGAAAAGTAACCTTGAATAATTTAAATAATAATTAGATAATATTATTATAAGATTTTGTACCTTTGTTTAGGATCAAAATCTAAGCAATAACAATTAGCTGTATGTCCTTTCAATACTTGTACTTGAGATAAAGATGGCCACTCTAACATTTTAATTGCACCTGATCCCGTTGTTAAAAAAAACTTTGAACAATCATGATTCCAACTTATTTCATTTATCTTGTAAAAAATAATAAAATAATAATAATTTTTAATAATAATATGGTATAAAAAAAAATATATATATATATGAAAAATTTTTCTTTAAATTTACTTCATCTCTATAATCATCCATCTCTGTATATGTTTTTACAATGGCTGGTGGTAATTTCCTTGGATCGATAAAAGATATCTTGTCATCCTATATTATTATTATTATTATATTAAATATTCCATTAAAATATGCAATAAAAAAAATTCTTGACAAACCTTATCACCAACAGCAATCATTTCACCATTCCAACTCCAACTGATATTTATGTTCTCTCCATCAGTTGATACAATGTGAGTACATCTTTTGGAATCTTTTAAAAAGAAATTATCGTATTTAGAAATATATATATATATATATATATATATATATTTTAAAAAAAAAGCAACCAATTAACAGAAATACCTCTTGTATCCCAAAATCTTACTGTCCTATCTGTAGATGCGGTTGCTAACTCGTTGGGTGATAAAGGACTCCAACATAGTTGATCAACGCTTTCTTCATGTCCGAGTAATTTGACAGAATATTTTATGTCTTCCTAAATGAAAGAAATTTAAATGATCCATCATAAATAAAATTGAATCCAATTAACCTGAAATGTCATAATTTATTTTACCATTGTTTTCACCAATAGGCATCCTGAGAGCAACCCAAAAAAATTGATATATAAAAACGGGTATAGAAAAGTTAAAGGTGTGTAACAAAGGTACACAAACCTATATAAATTGTAAATACCTGATCGGCTTCCCAAAGGCGAACTGTTTTATCGACCGAACCACTGGCAAGTCTTCTACCGTCACAGTTCCAGGCCACAGTTCGTACAGTCTTTGTATGACCCATCAAGATTTTGGTTCTACATTTATCGAAATACTCTTTTGGCTATTTATTTTTTAATTATTATTATTATTTTATTTATAGCCAATATTTAACATATTTAGCCAAGGGTATATTTGTTGGATGAAAACCAAAACGGCGATCGAAGGACGAAAAAAAAGCTTTTCGCCACATTCTTACAGTTTCTTCTGCCGTAGGACCCCGTGGGACTGGTTTCCGAACTGATGTTCTTTTAGACGACACCGATGAAGATTGAGTGACTGGCGCCATTAAGGTTAAAAAAGACTTATAGCTGGTCATAAAGATTATTTTTATTTTTATTCGCTGAATTCCAAAAAATAATTTTTTATACTACTTGTGATCACATGATTTAAAAATTTATTTATTTAATAATAATCAAAATTTTTTTTTTTTTTTATTAAAATATCCTAATTTTTTATTTTTTTTTGCTAGACAAGACAGATGATTTCTTTTCCTTTAATTTTTTCACCTTGATATTATTCTTAGCATCTTTTAAAGATTTATCACCTGTACCTTTCTTATCATGTTGCTTTTTCTTTGCAGACAAAATAGATTCTTTTTCCTTTAATTTTCTCACCTTATTTATTTTATTATTATTATCATCTTTCATAGATTTATCATCTGTATCCTTTTCATCATCATGTTTTCTTTTCTTTTCATAACTAATATAATGCGGTAAAGCATTAAAAATTGGTAAACTTGTGGATGTATTTGTTTTGATGTTTAATGATTGAATGTTCATCCATTTTTTTGATATTTGATTCACAATTTTAGATACTCCCATTTCAATATTTTCTAATATTTGTAATGCTGTCATATCTGTTGTACCTATTTTAATTGCTCTATATATGTATATTATATGATATGATGTGTATTTAGAAATAAAAAGAATTAACCAGATTAATCTATTTTGAATTTTAAATTTCTGAATTTATCAAATTAATCAATTTTTACTTACAGGCATGTTCCAGGCCTAAAATGCATATAAGTAGAATTACAAGCTTTAAGGATTTCTTTCTTGAAATTTTTTGGATCTTTTAAATTTATAGGAATTGGTTGTCTATAATTGAAAAAAAAAAAAAATTTTTTTAGTAAAAAATATCCCAAGAAAAAAATTTTTTTTTTTCTTCAAAAGAAAGAAATTAACTTACTTTTTCTTTTCAAAAAAGTTCTTTCCCAACAATTTTGGAAGGTAATTGATTACTCGATCATCTGTCAAAAATAAATCATAGGAATCGCATAACAAACGTTTTGCCTCATATGGTTGATATTTTTTACGTAACTTGGATACTCCAATTACCTTTAATAAAGATGAAATTTATAAAATAAAAAAAATTTTTATCACCAAAAAATATATAAATAAATATATATATATTTGATACTAATATTTACCTTCTTAATGTTTTTTACTCCTTGATTAATCACCAATTCTTTAAAATCTTTTTGTGGATCTTTTGTAATCAAACATATTTCTGTTGATGAATTATATAAAGGATGTTTCAATGGACTAGAAATATTATAAATATATAATTAGAAAATTTGAATCGATCTAATTCAATAGTAAGAATTATCTGAGATAATTACATGCTAATAGGTTTGGCTTTATTCTTATCTGAAAATTTGTGAGTAGAAACAATTAGCCAAACAAATTGTGTAGAATCTGTTATAAGTTCCTCTTTTTCATTTTTTTCGGTTTGTTTAGAAACGTATTTAAGAAGTAGAGTAACAGCCTTTTCAATCTATTCATTTATTTAATTTATTTATTTAATTTATTAAACGAATAATCCGTCTGAAATAAAAAAATAAAATTACCAGTTCTCTGTTAAGTGTTGGAATTTCTCCCATTTGTTATTGTAAATTCGTGGTGTCGTATCCGATTAAAATTAAATTCGTTGTACTGAATATGTACTCAATGGCACGTGGCCAACCGGAGCAAAGATAGCAGAATACTGCGGTCAAGTAAAAAGATATAAATGATAAAAAAATCAATTCTTTTACTTTTTCGACCGTTTTATAAATTATTTCGAATTCTATAGTTTATAGGTATATATATTTCACCATTTTTTACGTGCTAACTATATTTTTATTCTTTAAATATACAACCTTAACTCATTAACTTCGTGATAAATCAACCAACCAACTCTTCTAATGCAAATTTTTAGACTCAAAAATATGAATAATATGGAAACTGAACCATTATTTCCTAAAGAACAGTAAGTTCAATAACTTTAACTATTACTTCGTGTTTTTCTTTTAAAAATATATTAAAGTTTCTATCATTTCTCTGCAGAATTATCCCTACAATTCAAATCTCCGAGTCACAGGGTCAAACAACAAATATTGTGGAAAGAAGGAAAAGTAAAGGGGTCAGGACGAAAAGATCAAAAAGTGTTACAGAACTGGGTGTTGATGATTCAGCTAGTGAAGGAGGTTCCACCGACGACGGAAAACTTGTTTCTTCAAAAATTTTTAGAAGTACCAATGTGAAAAAAGAGAGCTTTGATGGTCCGTTCTTTTATTAACTTCTTATTAGGAATTATTAGAGATGTTTAGAATTAATTTTAATTTGATTTTTTTTATTTAGATTTCATAAAGAGGCGTAGGAATATTCTAGAAAAACAGAGATCCACTATTTCCTTATACACTTCTCCAATACTCGTCATGACCTATTTTTTAGCATATATCACTTATCAAATAAAAACATTTATTGAATATGCTCAATCAAGAAAGTGGATTCTAATATCTATACCGGCATTGGGAATATTAATTCAATCTTCATTATTAGTTGAAGGATCTCATCAACAAGTAAAGAATTATAAAGTAATTCTTTTTACTATCAAAATTTTTAATCAATCATTTAATATTATATTACTTTTCATTTTTAGATATTATATCGTCTCCAAACATTAATATTTTGGTATTGTTATTGGATCGGATTAGGAATCGCGTCATCAATAGGTCTTGGTACTGGTTTACATACATTTGTTTTATTCTTGGGACCTCACATTGCTGAAGTAACTTGGGCGGCTTATAAATGTGGAAATCTCGATTTTGAAACCCTTGGTCCAAATAGGTACGCGTTTTTAAATTAATTCATTTTGTTTATTTCAATCATGTCGAAAATTTCAATCATTATTGAATAAATTTAAATTTATAGGTTTCGCTGTCAACCTACCGTAGCATCATCCGTTACTATCTCACTTTTAAATATTTTTAAAAAAGTTCAATGGGAGTCTTTTTTTTGGGGATTCGGTACTGCTTTAGGGGAATTGCCACCTTATTTTGTTGCCAGGGCTGGTAAGCCATCGTAAGATTACATTGTATCAAAATTCATAACGGGGTAAAAAAAAATCTTAAAGAGTAATCGTTTTTAATTGATATACAAATAATTTAGCTGCTCTATCAGGAAGTCGAAGCGAAGAGTTAGAACAAATTGATACTTTATTAGAAAAGTCCCCCGAAAGTATATCTTATAAAGAACGCATTCTGATATCGATTCATAGATTTATGCGAAGACTGGGATTTGTTGGAATATTTATTTTTGCTTCGGTAATTCAAATTTGTATTTTTTATGATTTCACAATTTCAAATCATAACATATTATTTTATTATAACTTTTACTAGATTCCGAACCCATTATTTGATTTAGCAGGTATCATATGTGGCCAATTTCTGGTTCCATTTTCAACATTTTTTGGTGCGACTTTTCTGGGTAAAGCAGTTGTAAAGTCTTCCATTCAGGTATTTTTTCGTATTTTCTCCTACTTTAATTTTTTTTTTTTATTACAAAAAAATATACAAAAGCAAATTATAACTTTGTCTCATATAATACATAGAGCATTTTTGTAATTTTATTGTTCTCTCGAGATACGATCAGTACAATTCTACAGATTACACACCAATACATTCCATATATACATGATAAACTTCAAACTGTTGTTCAACGACAAACAAAAATGTTAAGACGAGAAGAAGGTGTCGATGCTCCTGATACGGGACCAGTATGTTTTCAATATTAAGTCGCGAACCTAACATTTATTTTTATTATTATTTTTTTTTATCGATATTTATTTATTCTTGTTATATTTTTTTAGGTAAATCCAAGCTACATATCTCTTATTTGGAATACAATCTTTAATTTAATGTTAGCTTATTTTGCTCTCTCTATTATAGAGACTTTGGCTATTTCACATCTCAAACGAGTACATGATCAAGAAATTGAAGCCTTAGAGAAAAAGGCAAAGGATAGTAAATTTGAAGATACATCTTCAATGTCTAGAGGTATTTTTGGTAGAGGTGGTAGGGGATATCTAAGTGACTAGGAATGAAATATCGAAATTTAATAATTCTTTCGGGGTTTTTAGATACAAATAAATTTATATTTGTACTCATTATATAAATATATAAATATATATATATATATATAATAATAATAATAATAATTCTTTCTTTAACATAAATTTTTTCTTCTTAATAAAATAGAATTAATTAATTTTATTAATTTTTCAATTGTACCTAATTTATAATAAATGTTGATTTACTTCAAATTGAGATTAATACATATTTTTACTATAACTTTCAAAAATAACAATTTTTTAAAAAAAAAAGTTTTACAAAATTTCAAATTTTAGTATTTGGAATTATAAATGTCATCAAAACTATTGAATTTAGTCAGATGCAATTAAAATTATGATTGAGTCATATGAAAAATTGACACAATTGATGCAATTGATGCAATTATTTGATATAATTATATAAATGCAATTAGAATTTAAAAATTAGTCAAAAGCTTTTACTTTTGATATTATATATAAACTTCAAACTGAAGTGTCAGATAAACTTACTTTGAAATTTGGAATTTGGAATTTTGGTAAAAATTACTAATTATAATTTGAATATGGATGGCAGATATATATATGAAAATAAAAAAAAGTAGTATTATTAATCAAAGAATTTATTTAGATGATTAAAAAATTTTAAATTTTAAATAAAATAAATTTTATCTTCTATAAAAAACATTTCATCTCCTATTTATTTCTATATGAAATTTAATTTTTGAATACAAGTTATATATGTCATCAAAACTATTGAATTTAGGATGCAATTAAAATTATGAAAATTTGAAATTGAGTCATATAAAAAATTAATACAATTTATACAATTGATATAATTGAGACAATCATTTGATACAATTACATATTTTAAATAAAGTTACAAGTTTCAAAATTAATAATTATTGTATAAAAATAAAGTTTTTTTTTTTTTATTTATATTTTATTTATGTAAATGTATTTTTTTTTTATTTTTTTATTTATATAAAATTTTTGTATTTTTGACAAATACTTATATAATAAATCATATGACATATTAACTATTAAATTTCAGCTATATCATATAATTATGTTCATTACTAAATTCTCAAATACATTGAATAACAGCTTTGTTATTTGTTATATAATACATGTTTAAAAAAACTTTTTAATCAAAAACAAAAAATTAAGATATTTACAAAAGTATTCAAGAATAAGCCAAGGTTTAATGTTATTTTAAAGCCACCTAACTTTTTAATTTTTAATTGTGTTTGACTTAATTCAATAGTTTTGTTAACATGTATAGTTGATTTATTAACTCGTATATAACTCGTATAATATAAAATACTATTAAAAAATATAATAAATTGTAATTTATATATTAACACTAGTCAAAAACAAAAAAAATCACTGGTTAAAATTATCAAAAATCTGAATTCTTAAATATATAAAAATTAAAAATTGAACAAATTGACTATTTTAATAATTCAAATTAAACTATCCTAAATGCTAGTTAAATATAAAAGAATCACTATACTAAATGGTAATTCATATATTATAGATTAGTTAAAAATTGGAATTTTATCATTAATTAAAAATTCATAAATATACTTATCAAATATTAGATAAGTAATAAATAAGTGTAGTGATTTTGCTGAATATCAAGTACTGATATCTTATATTAGATATCTAATATTATACAGATATCTTATATCAGTATTATATTTATATACAAAATTAAATGTATAACCTCAAAATTAATTTTGAAAAAAAAAGTCAAAATAATTTTCATAAAAAACAAAATTATTTTATATAGAAAACAAAATTTTTTGAAACTTGATTTCTATTCTTTAATTAAAAATAAGTATTTTTTTATTTCTATATATAGATTAGATTTTGCATAAAGTTTAAAAAGATGAAATATATCAAAAATCCAAAATAAATTTTAGAAATATATATAATTAATATTCAATATATCTTATCTATAAGATATCAGATACCTGATAAGTATAATATTTATGAATTTTTGATCAGTATATATTATAACTAGTTAAAATTAATTATCCTATTGTATTTTATATTATAAATTAATTAAAATTAAAATTTCTTTTGTACAACTTATTCTTTTGTATTTGATCTGTAAACCTGCCTATATTTTTTTTATTTTAATTTTATTAATTTTATTATTATAATAACCATCCATCCAAAATAATAACCTTAAACTTAAAGAAGTAAATAAAAATTTCACCTATAATAAAAATTTTTTTTTTTAGTTTAGTCATTATATTCTAAACTGGTTTAAATGTTCTAAACCCTTTAGTCTAATTACTAGATCATCTTATTTTTTTTTATTCTAGCTGTTTATTCTTTTATATTTGACCTGTGTAAATTTTATATAAAATTCTAATTTGTCTAATTTGAGATCAATTTGTTAAAAACACTAATTGATATAAAATTTGATGTAATTTTTTATTAATTGATATAATTGATGTAATAATTTGACTGTAAAGTATACTTGTGATAAGGTATAACACTAGTTGAAAATTTATAAATACTATACCTATTGAATATCAAATAAGTAACACATATCAAATATAAAAGAATTATTGTACTAAAAAGAAATTTTGATTTTAGTTAATTTATAATATAGGATGCAATATGACAGTCAATTTTTATTGATTTTTAACTAATTTATAATATAGGAATTATCATTTGATACAATGATTCTTTTGTATTTGACTAATGTAACAGATAAGTATAGTAGTTTTGCTAAATATCAGATATCAATTTCTCATATCATATTAGAAATTTTATAAAGGTGTTCTAGTATGCAATAAGTATAGAATGTTTAAATAATACATTAACACTGGTTAAAAATTGATAAAACATATACATATTGAATAGCTGATGTGTGCATGATATGTCCCTAATATCGGGCATATATCAGGTACCCAATAGGCATAAAAAATATTTTATATATATCAGATATCCAATATTAGGGATGTATCATGCACATATCGGATATCTGATATATGTATGTTTTATCAATTTTCGACCAGTGTAAAACATTGTGTTCTAGTATATTATAAGTATGAAATGTTCAAATAATGTATTAGAATGTTGCATTCTAATATATTAGTACTATACATGTTTTCAAAATTGATTTTGAATTTTTAATGCATTTTGTCCCCTCAAACTTTATGTGAATTTAATTTACATATAGAAGTAAAGAAAGTATCTAATTAGGTGTATTTTTAATTAAAAAATAAAAATCAAGTTTTAAAAAAATTTCGTCTTCTATATAAAATAATTTTGTCTTCTATGAAAAACTATTTTGACTTTTGGACTTCAAAATATTGACTTACTATAATAGCCTATTTTGTGTACAAGTATAGTTAGTATCATTCTAAGAATACTATATGAATGGTGTTTATATAGTTGTAGAATGTTTTTATTTAATTCCTGATATAGATATCAATATTCCATATTAGATATCCAATAGGTACTTGATATACCTTATCTGTAAAATATTGGATACCTGATATAAAATATCAGTATCTGATATTCAGCAAAATTATTATACTTAGTAGGTATCAGTATAACGCTAAGTAGATAACACTATATATATAGTGTTATCTACTTAGCGTTATACTGATACCTAC